AATATATAAATTAAATAAACAAATATAAAAATACAAAAATAAATAGGCCAACAAACAAACACATAGATAAATAAATCAATATTTAAATAAACATGAAAAAATAACTAAAAAGAAAATCTAAAAAACTATTTTTAAATAAAACAATAACAAAATACCTTATTAAAATTAATTATAAATCGATTTAATCATTTTAATAAATCAAAGTTAAAAATGCATAAAAATTTTGAAAATATTTAAATATACAAACATAACAAAAATAAATGGTTAAAATTAACAAAACGAAATTGTAAAAATTTACAAACATATAAATTAAATAAATAAATATATAAATTAAATACACACACAAACAAATTTATTAAAATAATTTATTATTTTATTATTTTTCATCAGACCTATACAAATCTTATAACTGACCTGTTAATAAAAAGGTGAATTTTAACCAAAAAATGAGGCGCGTCAGTTCTCACCAGTGCTGATCGGCGATGAGTGCTCCAGACAGCTGGATGTCGTGTGCCGACTCAGACTTGAGCTTGCCGACCTTGGTTTGGCCCTCTTTAATCATGTACAGCAGCATCTCTGACAGCTGCGGATCCTCATTCAGGTTCACAAGGTTAGGCAGCCGATTATCCACTTTAAAGGTGACGCCGGCACGCTAAACGACACACAGAGAAGAAGCAGAAAGAGACAGAAAATGGCCATGAAACTCATTTGAAAAGCTCATCGATCCATCACACACAAAGTAAAGGGTCGAAGATTTACCTGAAGCTCTTTGGCTTCCTCTCGTTTCCTCCTCTCAGCCTCTTCTAGTTTTTCCTTCCATGTTCTGGACACAATAACATGGGAAATAATTAGAAACATATAATCATCTAGAAATGTTTGCAATGTTGTATAATATTAATCACGAAATCCAATATCCAAAAAAAATACAATAATAATTACAACAATATTAAATATATCATATTATTTATTTATTTATTTATTTATTTATTTATTTATTATTCTTTATTAGCATTATCATTATTGATATTTTTATTATTATCATAATTTTAATTATCATTGTTATTATTATTTTCCATCAAGAAAGGTCTTAGAATTTTATTTAAACATCAATTGTTTAAGATAACTTTTTAAATGCAAATACATACACAGAATAAAAAAGAAACAAAATGTTTTCTAAGTCATGCCAATTCATTGGAAAAAGCTGCCTTAGCAATGTTTTATTAAAAAAATAGTTATATTCATAACGACCAATCTGCTGGTCTAGTTTTCCAATGATGTGGGCATGATGTCACGCGCTGGGAAAACAGCCAAACATGTTTCAAGTCTCCAACATCCCGTCTGCTAAGAGCTACAGCCACATCACATTATTTTACTTAACAAAGCCATGTGGAGAAAATACATTTCAGCTTTTTACATTTCCAAAACCATACTCTCAAACCTCAAACTAACCTGGCTGCAGACCACTGGCTTCAGTTTTTGCAGCAGAACGTCAGAAAAGTTACTGCTGAGTTAGTCACATTTAAATGCTTTGTGTAAGTGTTAGTAATATTATTTCATTTTTTTAAAGTAACCTATACAACAACAAAAATTAAATATTATTACCAAGAATATTATTACTTTTTATGATATTCTCAATTTTATTTCAAATTAGGAACATAACAGTTTCTAGTTTCCTGTGTTCAAAAACCTCCCCTTCACTTTTGTCAAACTGAATTGTGGATCCAACGGCCCCACGTCAGCAGCGTTTCTCACTCCAGAAATTGACCTTTTTCACATGACATCACACGGCATTATTAGATTATGAAATTATTTGTAACTTACTATTAATTAGGTTAAACGGTATACAGATATTAAATTAAAACCACCCAGTTGGTCCAGCAGGACACTTTCTAAAGGTCTCAACTCAGTCAAACATTAATGGATCAGTAAATAATCAATGATGAAACTGATTGCATTTGTAGATTAAATAATTAGCAGGTAATATGAAAAAATGTAATAAAGAATTGTACTCATGCTGGAACCTTCACATAATAAATAATACACATTTATATTCAGAGCAGCATCAAAGTAAAAATAAATCCATTATTGAGGAAATAAACTGAATTAATAAATGAAAAGGTTGTAAACCTATAATTTTCTTGATTAACAATAACTTATTCCTATTAATAATAACTTAAACATTGTGAAACTCAGAAAGCAGTTCAGTATTGAAAGACAAAACATTAGGACACATGTCCAATAATTTAACAGACTTAAGTCACAATGTGCAACGTTAATATTTTCAGTTGTAAATTCTCCCATTCATTCAAGGGTAAACTGGAACTAACAATAGCGTTGTCAATAATAGGGAACTGAAGTGACGCCATTGTAAAAAAGGGTCTATTGGAAATTCCTTGATTTTAAAGAGCCCATATTATACATGAAATAGGGTCATATCTTGGTTGTAAGGGTCTCCAACAACAGTCTAATATGCATGCAAAGTCAAAAAACACTTTCATGGTCTTATAATCTGCATTTATTTTTACCTAATTATCCCAGCGACTCCTGTATGAATCGTCCAGTGATTCATTTGTTCCCAAACCCCTCCTTAGCGCGAAGCTAATCTGCGCTGATTGGACCGATGACAGCCTGTCACGATTGGTCGACTGCCTTCAGTCAGAGAATGAAATGCCCAATAGCTAATCAGCATTATCAAAGTAATCACAGTTCATACGCGCTCCATAGTGTAGGCGTGGATTTTAGCTGCCACACACACACACAAACACACACACACCTCTGGACGACAACACTCCCGCTTCCGCCCGCACCCGCCAGGTTTTAGCCTGAACCCGACCGCTCCCGCTTATATTTAGAATTTCTTGTCCCGGTGCCCGAACCGCCCTGTTTTCTGCCCGCCGCGCCCGATCCCGCTAAAGAGCGGGGGAGAACATAACCGAAAATCACCCAGCAAAACAGTCCAGAGACAGCCAGACAGAGCTCTCTCTCTCTCTCTCTCATACGCGCGCACTAACACATACACACAAGCGCCAAGCAGACACACAGGCAGGCAAAGCTCTGTCTCATTCGCATAGCAATATCCACGATATTGCTAGACAGCCCGCTCCCGTCCCAAATTAAACCTGTTACCGACCGCTCCCGCTATTGATTCGGAAATTTATTCCCGCGCCGCAGAAATCTGGCGCGGGGACAGCCGCGGGAATGCAGACCTCTACCACGGAGCTCCATAAACAAACAGCACGCGTCGCGTTTTTAATGTGACTTTGCACGCGATAAGAGAATATAGCCAGTTAACCTGATACAGTACACTCGGTTACAAGTAACAAATCACAACTAAATACATTTGCAAGCTAGAGTAAACGAGGCAACTTTAATCGCACGTACTTACATTTGAGAAATGGAGGAAGAAACTCATCCTGACGTCTATTAGTAAGTAACTCTTAACTGATCCTTACTTTAACAAACGCAGATGAAGTATTCTTTGTAGCCTGTAGTTTCCAGAAGTTTCCAACTGCTTGGTTATAATGCTGAGGTTTCATCTCTGGGTAGAGAATCGATAATGTCCATCTGCAGTGTGACTTCAATCGACCGGCATGTTTGTGGGTGTGTGTGTGTGTGTGTGTGTCTGGGTTTCTGCGTCAGAGGGCGGGGCCTCAGGTTTGAAATCTCCCGGATTTGCGCGTGCACGTGAATAACTTGGTTTCGTTCGTATGTCATGGCGAAACACCTAATGAATCGGTATCAAGGCGACTCGTTTGAAGCACTATGAGTCGACTCTTTTATAGATGAATCAACCGTTTTAAACACTGTATTCTTACAGATTTAAGCCTTAGCTGGATACTTCACTTCACTTAGAGCTGTGTTACACACTACATGGAGGGGAATTTTCAAAAACCCATAATATGGGCTCTTTAAGCATTGATGAAAGTGTCAGACAATCAGATTGCTTTTGCAAATACCCCAGCTCAGACAGTGGTCAGTTGTGGTCTAATTTTATTGGCTGCCGCTGTTATAATGTTCCCATCAGCTTCAAGCTTCAGACGCACCTTTCCTCAAGCGCTGACACCCCATGTGAATGTATCGTAAATATAAAGAAAACATCCAAAATTGGTAAGTGTTTCTTTTTTACACGTCACTCAAGGCTAGTTTATACTTCTGCATCAAGTGCAGGTGGATGGACAGGTGTAATGACAAATAATTATGACAAAAATATTTAATGACAAACCCCCAACTCCCCCAAAGAATTATATATACATATATATATACATATATACATATAATTAATAATGAGCCATGGTCGACCTGGGCTCAAACAAACCTTGACGTCGTCTTGATGAACAGCCACAAAGCCAAAAAGAAGAGCAGATTTACCCTGTACACCTTAGTTTTTTACGAGCCAGTCTGAAGCGCGAGCGGTTTCGCTTTCTTCCTTGCACTCGCTGCGCGTCTATATCTGAAAAAACAAACTTCTTGAGCTGATGATAATAATGTGCACTTGATTATTGACGTGCTTTTGAAACCCGATCCTGTGCGATAATAACAAACGCGAGAGTGACACATTCAGAAAGTAAAGGACAAACGCGAGAGTGACACATTCAGAAAGTAAAGGACAAACGTGAGAGTGAAGCATTAAAAAAAGGAGAAGTCGGGAAAATAGGAGCATGTTATTTTTTCAGCAAACGTGAACAAACTGTCTTGTTTAACTATTAACTTAACCTTTTGGACTATTATGAACTTAGAAAGATGGAATTGCTATCTAACACAGAGGTTACATGTGCTGCTGAAGATTACAGACACAGAAGAGAGGTCTGCTCAGACTGTGGGCTATATTGTGGGCTATATTTCCTATTGTTTTTTTTTTAACCTAAATAAGGACTAAATGTCTGCTGTGTGTGTGGTTTTTCTGTGGTTGGTAACATATCGAAGACTGTAAGGGTCTGTATATGTTCATATATGTTCATTTATTTATTTATTTAATATAATTACAGACGTTATATTAGGCTATTTGTCATTAATCTGCAGTTGTAATTAAACCCTGTTCATGGAAAAGTTATTAATAAACATTTATAAAGAAGTATTTATGTGTGTAAAGCGTCTGTTTTGTGAGAAGTGCTTCTCATATGATATGTAAGCGACCCGTACCGCTTTACTGTAGACATTTTAACCACCGAGAATGACGTTGACTAAAATTTCTGTCATACACCACGCCCACCAAAAGGGTACCGTTGATAGTGGAAACGCAAGCCTGACAAAGGTGACCCGTACCCACCCAAACCGTACTGTACTAGTCAGTGGAAACGAGCCATAATGAAAGGCCCGCCCTCAAGAGGCCCTGATTGAAATCTGACAAGTGTCTTTCCCGTTGTTTACATTCATGTTTACGTCCTCACTACAATGTATCGTTAACGCTAGAAACTGTGCATGTAATTGATCAATTTTATCAAATAAAAACACTTACAAGAACTTAAAGGCGTGTGGTGAATGCACGTAACCTGCAGGGTTTATGATTTCATTAACTCGGATTTATTTTTTGTAGTCCCCAAATTCGTTCCCTGTAGGCTTTGCTAAGCTAGCTCTGTAAAAGCCAATGTCTCCCTTTGCATTGAACTTTGAGTGTATTACATTCAGAGATGATGTTTTATGTTCACACAGCTACATTACACATGACCTAAAGTTTAAAATATAATATAGTAGTGGACTAACCCTTTAATGAAATAATTCATCAGTTGCATATTTAAACGGAATGCTTTAGAAAAACTACATTTTTATATGAGGTAAGTTTTGGACAGGTAATTTTGATGTACCAGTTTTAAAATTTTGATTGCATAATGTGGTTAATAACCCTGATTTCTTTGTTTTATATGAACACACCTGTGAGCTTCAGCCATTTCATGCTCCTGTTGGCAGAGTTTGTTCTTGAGCGCTGCAATCTCTTGCTGAAAGAGTCTCATCTTCTCCGGCTCGACTCCCTGAGAGCTCATCTGAGCTGCTCGCAGCTTCTCCACCTCAGCCTTCAGATCTGCACACACAGATTTAGAAAACACTCGAATCTCACACAACAAAAACATCTTAGAAAAGAATTAATATCAAAATGAAACTATAATGCATTATAAATGACTAATAAATGGTATTATCAGTGAAAATGTATTATTATTATACATAATTCATAAATAATATTAAACAACAAAGACAATTCAAATAAAAAAATAACAATTGTTTGTATTATTTATAATATTAATGATAATATAAAAACTAAAAAACATAATTTTTTATCAGTATTATCAATAACAACAACTACCATCAACATAAACCTTTTCCATTTTAATTTCTGTTTTAATTTCTGTACTGACTACAGATCAGCGCAAGTGATAGTAGTCACTTATGTACTGCCCTCTAGTGGAGCTGTGGTGTGCTGCAGTGTTTCTACTCAATGACTGTTATAGCAGCTGATGGAGCACACACAAACACAGACTGAATGAATGAATGAATGAATGAATGAATGAATGAATGAATGAATGAATGAATGGATGGATGGATGGATGGAGAAAAACAGCTGTCTGACCTCGGATCAGTTTGGCATTGGTGTCTTCGTTGACTTTAGCGATGTTAATGATCATGCGGGCCTGCTGGGCGTAGCGCAGGGTGCTCAGACTCTCCTCCATGTTACTGGCCGCAGGGCTCAATGTGGCAATCATGGCCGTTTTAGAGTTTCCACCAAGGCTTTCCTTCAGTAACCTGAACACCGCAGAGAAATTATGCACTTCTGCAGCTTTTGACAACAAGCAATTTGCATTTTTTATGATATCCAACAAACATTTGAGTCTGTGTTGAATTTATTTCTGGTACTATTGTTGTGCATAGTTCATCAGCGCTCATTTGTTTTCAGAATTTCTCAATTAAAATATTTTGTTCATAAATGGGAAAAAAATGTATTGCATATGGGAAAAAAGGCAAATCTGCTTTAAACATTAATGAAATTACAGGATAATCATTATTTTAAGTTGTTCTCATTACATGAAGTATATTTATAAATGTTTTAAAACATTGTAGTCTTAAAACATCAGAACTTAGTAATCAGAACTTCAGAACTTCATTGAAATTTTATTTTCTTGACTGACTTGAAAGTATTTTTCACAGGTCAAGCAGACGAGGAATTATAAACAGAGTTTCTGCAGGTTTCACCAAGTCAAATTAAAGACTTTAAGACATTTTTAAGACCATGAAGAATGAAATTTCAGACTCATATAAGGCCAAATGCAAAGAATTTTTCAAATGGCACAGCAGAAAAAAAAGTACTTTAACTTAATTAGTTATTTCTTGCCCACATATTTTAAATAATGTGTCAAAACAATCAGACCCTAGTTGTATAAATGTTTTTTTTTTTATTTAACTAAATGTATGCACAACAGACAGTTTTGCTAAACGTTTTATTGAAATGTGTTTTTTGTGATTGGATGTGTGTTAAATCGATTGAGTAGCTTCACATATTACAGAGGAAAATTAAGACACAATGATTTAAGACCTACACGACAATATTTCAGTGAATTTAAGACTTTTTAAGGCCTATATATATATATATATATATATATATATATATATATATATATATATATATATATACATACACTTTATTAATGCAATTTTCAGCACTTAACATTTAAGGAACTATTTTGCACTATATTGTTTATAGTGGAAATTCACTACATGTTTCTCTCACCATGTGAGCACGGACTCCCTGTATGGAGTGAAGACTTTCTTTCTGCTCTGAGATTGTTCAGAGAGCGACGAGATCACCTTTCCCAGGGTTAGCAGAGACTTGTTGATACTTGCTCCCTCCTTTAGACAAACACATACAATCACATTGCAAAATGGCAAACACTTTTGTTAAAATTTGGCATTCATTCTGTAATACAATGAATTAACAAAGCAGAACACAATAGTTGTCACATTCAGATTAATTGGTCAGACATCATCCTAGATTTTTGTTTTAGCTTGTAGTGACTCTGTCAATAAACTTTAAGCAAAAGGGTTTTAATTTTGTACAAGCAAGCTCAGGCTCTTCCTCCAGTGAACTGTTTTGCCATTATAAACTCAACGAGTTTAAGACCTGGTTGTTTTAAAATCAATAATCTTCACTGCCTGATTGTGATAGTATATAAAGTGCTTCAAGAAACACTGGAAGTTTATCAGTGGCTGAAAAACATTTGCCGTGCATATAGCCTATTGTCTAAACATCTCTTAAAAACGCTTGCTATTGAAAAAAATAATAATAAATAAATAAATAAATAAATAAATAAATAAATAAATATATATATATATATATATATATATATAAATACATACAATTGAAGTCATAATTATTGGCCCCCTTAGCATTTTTTTTTTTACTTTTTTAAATATTTCCCAAATTATGTTAACAGATCAAGGAAATTTCTGATACAGTTTTTTTTTTTTTTTATCTGGCGAAAGTCTTATTTCTTTTATTTTTTGCTGGAATAAAAGCAGTTTTAGATTTTTTAAAAATCATTTTAAGGTCAAAATTATTAGCCCCTTTAAGCTTCATGTTTTTACTGTAGCCTACAGAACAAACCATCGTTATACAATAACTTACCTAATTACCCTAACCTGCCTAGTCAACCTAATTAGCATAGTTAAGCCTTTAAATGTCACTTTAAGCTGTATAGAAGTGTCTTAAAAAATATCTAGTCAAATATTATTTACTGTCATCATGGCAAAGATAAAATAAATTAGTTATTGAGATGAGATATTAAAACTATTATGTTTAGAAATGTGTTAAAAAAATATTTTTTCTGTTAAACAAAAATAAAAAATATATAGATTGTATTTTTTTTTACATACAAAAATTATCTGTTGTAAAGCATAAAGGCAATTGAGGAAAAACAGGTCATACATTTTTTTAACAAAATAAAACTGTGTATAAAAATGATTGAGAAATCATTTTTACTTAGGAATTTTTTTAATTATTAATGTCCTTAATAGGTAAGCACTGATTTAAATCAAACTAGAAGTGCACACATATACAGGTCAGGGTTAGTAGCATAGTAATATTCTAAATATGTATTGCTATTCTTCCATGGTTGTAAGCATTCCCTCAATGTGTATTTACAGTTATTTTAAAGTCTGTGTAAAAATAAAATGTACAGTGTTTACTTTGTTAGAGGACATTGTTAGTCTTTAGGTGAACAATTAATCCGTGCAAGTTAATCCAGTGAATATTTTTTATTTTGTTTTGTTAATCTTCAAAGTCTGATCATCTGCTTTCGCGTTTGGAGTTGTGATTCTTCTCTGATGTCAGTTTGACAGCTTCAACCCCAGTGTTCTTAATCTTGCTCTTCCTACAGCAAGTTTACTATGAGGGAATGATGTGCAAAATGAAAGCCCTGCCCCCACCTCAATATTTCACTCCAGTGGGAAGCACATCAACATGTTGAAATAAAAGTCTCAACAACTACTGGTTCACACAGACTTTACAATTTTTAAAGAAAGTCTTTTTTTAGGATAGGTAGAGTAGCCTATATTCTATAAGTTTGTGCAGCCCCAATTTATATAAACACTAAATAAAACAAATATACGTATACGTCACCCATGTATACAAGAGAAAGCAGCACAAAGTAATCTTCAGATTGAATAAACAGAGCTTTTGGATGCTGGATTACCCTGAGCCGGTCTCCGCTGGTCTGGGCTGAAGTACAGCGCTCACTTCCCGCCAAATCTACCAGGTTTATTCGGCTGGTGATGCAGTGATCGTGTTCCTCTTCCTCCACAAACTCCGTCTGTGCACATGAAGAAACATTAGGTGGGTAAAACAGTCACAAATGCACTTAAAGCGATGCTCAATGCAAAAATTACACTTCTGTCATCATTGACTGACCGTCCAATTGTTACAGACCGGTCTTTGATGATCTTTCTTTTGTTGTACAGAAAATAAGACATTTTGAAGCAGCCATTGACTTCCATAGTATATGTTTTTTCTAATATGGAGGTCAAAGGCTACCGGTTTTCAACATTCCCCTAAATATCTCCGTTTGTGTTCAGCAGAAAAAGTTTAACTAACAACGGTGATTGGAACAACTCAAAGGTGAGAAAATGATGACAGAATTTTATATTTTGGGAGAACTTTCCCTTAAATAGTTTGTTTTCTGGTTAATGTAAGCACTTTATTGCAATAATGCACGATAACAAGCACATCAATGGGACTTACTTTGGTTTGTGTCATGACCAGAGTGAAAACAGAGTGTGATCTGGAGCTTTTATCGTTCATGCCAGTGGCGGCTGTGGCTCTCTGTTTGTTACCCAATTCAAGCCAAGTCTGTGTAGATGGGGAAGGGAAAATTAAGTTGTGATAACATGAACACATTAAAAGAGGTGAAGAATGAGTATGTTAAGAAAAAGTTGAAAATTACCTTAATGTCGGAGTAGGATGAGACGACATTACTGCAAGAGAGTTCAGAGATTAGCAATAATAGCACAAAACAAGCCAGTACTGAACCAATAGACAACAAAATTAAATTGAAAATGAGCCTGTAAAAAAATCTAAATGAAATCACAACACAAAAAACAGAATAAAGACTAAATGAGAAGTCAAAGAAAAAAATAAAGTCAAAAACAAGTCAAACAAAAACATAACAAGCCCACAAAAAAGAAACCAAAATGCTTAACATGCCAAATCAAGTTAGAATAAAACATGTCAGACAAAACAAAACCACAATACAACAAATTAGGTTGTCATCTTTTTCTTTTTGGTTTGCTGCTGTTTTGTATGAGCAGTCCTACAATGTACACTTAAATGTATTTCCAAAATTTTATATATATATATATATATATATATATATATATATATATATATATATATATATATATATATATATATATATATATATATATATATTGTAAAATAAAATTGTAGCACCTCGGTACATAATTTAAGTTTTTTTCAGTTCAGTTTGAATAGTACTACATGTTTCTATTGGTTAATAATTAGGGTTATCAGTGTTTGCAGGTGTCAAGTCAAGTTTGACTATATCTAAGGTTCTCTTGTATTTCCTGTGTGACCTGATGAAGACCTTGTAGGTCAAAATGTTGTCTTATTAAATTGTCTTTTGAGAGCTAGTGACAGTATGCCGAGATTACGTCTGTCTTTACGTCCTTAATAACCACAAGTTCAAACAAATCTATTTTTAATTAACTAAAATGTATTAAAATAAAAACAACAACAAAAAGGAAACTTAAAAAAATTAAATAAAGCAAACTAAGGCTCCAATCACAAAGAATGTGTTTGGGGGGGGGGGGGGGGGGGGGTTGCAGTAAGAGGTGCCTTTTTATTCATTATTTTCTATTGGCAGGGAGCATTTTGCACACTGTTTATGCGGCCTTGTGCTTTTGCTGAAGCATTGTAGTCAAAAAAGTCAACTCTTATATAAAAAAAATAAATAAATCAACCAATGTCACTTAGCAGAAAAGCAACCAAAGCCAGCTTCAAGACCAATGATTCAATGTTGGCCTCACAAGATAAAAAGCACAGCACATTGCTCTTTTTCTAAAGTGAGCTTTTTTCACTGAAAAGTGCATTCGGTAGGATCACAACCTTAAGTAAAAAAAATACATTAATAAATTAAATAAAAAATAAATACATAAATGACAAGACTGAAAACCGCAACACAAAATAAATAAAAAAAGAAGAAAGTACGAAAGTAAAAAAAAAAATACAATTAAAAACTCACAAACATATTCAAAATTGATTTTGTAAAACAGTAAAATTCTAAACAAGCCAAAAATCTAAATCAAATCACCAAAAAAAAAAAAAAAAAAACTCAAAATCAAACTAAAAAACAACAGCCAAAACAAAATCCAGCAAAAATATTTAATAAACCAACACACAAACAAGTCTAAACAAATCATAACAAAAAAACAAACAAAAAAATCTATAGCATTCTATGGCCTTTTATTTGGTTTAAGTATTTGCTTACGTGGACAGATCTGCAACATAAGGCCCGTAAACAGGATGTTCTCTAACACGCAGCTGGAAAAAAAAAGACAACAAATAGATTAACAAGAAAGGCAAATAAATTGCACAACACTTCTAACACTTGGCATTATTGAGCTGTTGTACTAACAGGCATTTTCTTCTGGTTTTGTTCATCCTTGGCCACCAGCAAGTCATGGATCTTCTCATTGTAGACCTCAAAGTAACTCATCTCCAGATGACAAGACATCTTTAACATAAATAAACTTGCTTTAAAAAAAAGGTTAAATCTAGAATTTATAGATAAATAGTCATAATTGAATAATCATCTTAACCTCTTTGGTTTCAGATCTGGCCAATCTTGAAAAAAGCTCCTCACAGAATCTGGGAATAACTCCAGTTTCTTCACCAAAACCCATCATCCTAGACAAGACACAAGAAATACACTTGATGGATCCAAAGTTAAATGCTAAAAAAAAAGGAAACAAAATGACTTACGTGTAAGACTTTCCAGACCCTGTTTGTCCATATGCAAAGAGACAGGTATTAAATCCCTCAAATGCTCTTTCAAGCAAAGGTCGAGCCAGTTTTTCATAAATCAGCTGCTGACTGGAAAAACTTGCATCCGCTTCATTGATAGAGCAGAAGGAGAAGTCAAAGGTGAATTTGTGGGTTTGTTTGGTATCCGGATGTTGCACTAAAGTGTCCTGGTTTTCCATGAAGATCACCTGACAGGCTTTTTCAATCTTCTCCCTGCAAAGAATGATGAAATATTCAGTATACAAGTAACACTGTGATAATAGTAATATATTCTAAATAAGAATATCTGATTACATTTTAAGTAATTATAATAACGTTTATCATATATACGATAATAGGAAAATCTAACATTGCGATATTTTGTTAGTCTGCGATGTATATTGCAATACGGATACAATTTCACCAGATGACTTGAATGTCCGTTTGGAAAGAATGTATAATTGTTGTGATTGGGATGATTCTGTTGGTGTCTGCGCATCTGCATATAATCTATTTAACGAAATAATAGCATAGATAAAGACAATAAAGAAAGATGTATCATTTTATAATTTTTCAAGTCTAACAGTATTTTGTTATTAACGTTCCTAAGGGTACAATTTTTACTGTCTGATTGCTTTTTAAATCTTCATACATTTAAATCTTCAAAAATTTTAATACTTAACACTGACATAATAGACTCAACATTGCATATCTTGCTTTGCGATCGATTACATTGTGATATCGATGCTGAAATGATTGTGCAGGCCAAATTTATAAAACAAATTAATTATAATAATACAGAAATAAAAAATAATTATGATATAATTTATTAAAAAAAATTAATAATTTATTACATTTACAATTTGATATCCAACTCAAACGAAATAGAAAAACTAGAAAATAATCTGAATATTCTTTTAATAAGTAATTTGCCTAATTTTACAGTATTTATTTAGTACAATTATGAATTATATATTATATAAAACACATTTAATTTAATTCTAAAAAAATGTAACACACTTAAAATCTATACAACAGTTACACAATTATTTAATCTAATATTCACCAAAAAACATTTTTTATGATTTTTTTTAATAACAATGTTTAAAGGTTGAGGTTAACATTACAATTATAAGATGATGTTCCAAAAAAAAAAAATAGTACACGTGAATTAATATTTATTCATTTTCATTTTCTTTATTTATCAATGGTCGTCGTCACAGCAGAATTAACTGCCAACTAATCCAGCATATGTTTAACCATCGGATGCCCAAATTAATATGTTAGGGAACATTTTTAAAGGAATCATAAAATGTAATTAAAATAGAATAGTCTTTTTTGCAGTAACTCATTTGAATTTAAATGTCTAATCTTTCTATTTCTATAAGTGACCAGACTCTTATTTTAATTAATTTAATTTTTTTTAATGCACCAAAATGGATTGTCTAGATTCACTGGGAAATGGATATAAAACATTCAATATATTGTTTTAACATCAACATCGCAAAGTGTGCATCTGCAACAGTCACACTGCAGGATCTGCAATGTTGTAGCAGGATTATAGTTGACCAGGAACCACAGTTGTTCATATTTTTAAGGCCTGTGATTGTGTAAATACAAAAAAATCCTAATGTTTCTCACTTTAAGAAAGATTAATTGCATTTAAGTATATATACACAATGAAAACCACATAGTTAATTTACATTTGATTATTCAATTTGTGTACCTTAATACTGCCAAACGGTTGTTGTTGTGTTTTTTTATTTATATCTTTGCTCTAGTGTTTTAATCAATTGATTTATTTAATTTCATGCAGATGCACTCTAAAGTCATTCTAAGCCATGTAAAATTATGTAAATTCTGAGATATTTATTTAGTCTGGCAAAATTATATTGAATATTGCAATATATTGTTAGAAGAAAAGTCTGTTTTTTCCAATATCGTGCAGCCCTACTGAGCACTGTCCATACATGTCCACTCCTGAAACAGGTAAAGATAATGTTATGTCCTACATGGTCATTTTTCAATAAGCATAAAATGTAATTTTTAAACATGCAGTGGCAAAGTTATTTATCAGTTTATTGTAGTTTGTTTTTTTATTACAGCTATTTTGTAGAGTCAAAACATTCTACTTTTTCCTTTAAGAAAAGTAACTTATTTATAAACCATAAACACAGACACCAAAAAAAACAATTTAAGCCAAATTAAAAGTTCAAAATCAGACAATCTCTTACCTGGAGCTGAAAGGTCTTACACGTACAGCAACCGTGACTGCGCTGTTCTCCATCTTCAGCTCTTGAGTTTGTAATTCACTCATTTTGCTCAAGCCTTCAGCAGGAGTGTGTCCTTCAACTCTTCTTCCTCCATGAGGTGTGCTGGAGCTCATCAGGCCTGCAGGTCTCCTCACCTGTGCTGGCTGTGATGCAGGAGTCATGTGCCTATTTAAACCACCAACCAGAAGCTTCTCACCTGCAGATCTCCCACTTTCACTGCTCATCTGAGGAGGCTTCGCTCCTCTGGCAGATCCTGGCTTTGGAAATGTGGGTTTAGATGCATCTTTACCAGCCAGTTTCTCAAAAACGTCCCTCTTGACGCTCAGCTTCTCAAACTGGGTTCTTCTTGTTGGTGTCGAAACTGTTTTGTTCTCCTCCTGGGTGGCTTTCTGAGCACCCCATGAGGTTTTTGCAGGTGTTTTAATGGTGTCTTGAGTCTCTTTTGGTGCTGGGTTGGGTTCAGTGAGGACTTTGGTTCTGTTCAAAGAGCCTGTTCTGGTTCTCCTCTGAAGGGTGAGGCGCTTTGGGTTCTCCTGTGTGGTTTCGTCATGATGATTTCTGCTGGTTTTTCTCTGAAGAGTGAGTTTGGATGGTATTTTGAATGCGTTTTCCCCGTTTGTTGTGAGTGCTGAGATCGTGTAGGTTTTGTTTATTTCTTTGGTTTTATTAAAAGATGATGTGACCTCTCCTTTTGATAAATCCATAATTTAAAAGTCTAAAATATGCATTTCAGTCCACAAATTGAATCATCTTTCTATAATAATGAGCTCACAGAGGTCAACAACCTGCCCACTTGCATTTAAAATACATATTTGCGAAAACTGACCTGTCGGTGTTGGGTTATTTAACAGCCGTTTAGTGAATTAAAAGTTGATTTGTTTGAAGATTAAAACCCGCAGTCCTTTCTTTGTCTCGTGTATGTCGGTTTTGACGTTGAGAAGTAAGTAACCGGCTGACTGTACTCCGCCTCAGTGCGTCAATAAATAATAACAACAACAGCTCACTGTCTGTGTTCCGCCATACTGCCGCTCCGATTCAAAAACAGTCCGCGTGCAGTGATTGGTCGGCTCAGATTGACGTAACGGCGACGCAGGGACGTAGATGGACCAACAGATGGCAGTGTCTATCAGAGTAAACAGTCAGAGAAGGTCTCTGAGCTTGACCAAAAGATGACGCGAAATAAATCTAGAGTAATTTACAGTAAAATCTGTCGTTTTTGAACCATTCTTTAGTAAAATGTATTATATTGTTTATTTGTTATAGCACTCACAACACTTTGTTAATGAATACTGCAGCATACTGTAGTATAATAACTATAGTGGACTAAAAAACTAATAGTATCCGTTTTTCCTACAGTAAACTGGTGTAATGTAGTATAATATTCTTCAGTCCGTTGATATTACTCAAGTTGTTGTATTACCATAACAAATATATTAATTCAGGTATTTTACTAAAGTGTGTGTAATGTTTGTTTGCAAAAAAAATTAACAAGTATATTTATGATTTATTACTATTTTTTAAATATATGTTTTAGTAATGATTTTGGGTACAGCCACTGACACCAGAACTTTCCACAAGAATCCGTTGATCAGGAGTAAAAAGAAGATTAAAGACATAAAAAGGTAGGCTACTATCTTTAAGGAACACGGCCACTACTTTGGTCTTGTTTGCACTGAACTATTAGGACTGAACTATTACTGTTTAAGGACACCAGCAGCATCTTTAAAGTACTACTCCATATGTTCTACACACATTATAGGGCAAACTTTGTATTGTGATAAAAAAATAATAAATCAGATTTCCTCTGACAGCCCCCTTGCAAAGATGGCTGACTGGTATTGTTCACAAAATGCTGAAGGTGATGCGCATGAAAGGCCTAAGTGCGAGTGCGACCCTGTTTTTGATTGTCAAATGAGGTCTATTGTGGACGACATGTTTAAAAAGCATTATAGGGACCATATGGTCTTTCTTCTAGAGAAGATCATTGATGATGCATGTAATTCTATACATGATTGTACAGGAGATGGCAAACGTGTGAAAAATCTCACGAGAGAAATGGAAGTTGTGTATCGTGTGTATATGTATAGAGTGTATTATGTGTCATCAACTTCCAGTAGCTCAGTGGTAATGTGACTCTCCTCTCACGCCAGAAACCCGGGTTCTACATCCACACCCTGACAGGAGTGATTTGTGTGTATATGCATAGAATATATTAAGTGTAACGTGTATTATATGGAGTGTATACTGTGTGTATGCATAGGGTCTATCATGTGTATCTATAGAGCATATTGTTTCCACATGTATGGAGTGTGCTCATGTATAGAATGTATTATGTTTGTATATGTATGGAGTGTAAAATGTGTTTATATATAGAGTACATAATATGTATAGTGTGTATCATATGTGTATTTGTATAGAGGGTATCATATGGTGTATTTTTATAGAATGTATGTATAGCGTGTAAATGCATAGGGTGTATCATGTATATGTATAGAGTGGTGTATTATCGTTTGCCTATGTATGGAGTATAGAGGGTTTATATGTATAGAGTGTATGATGTGACATCAACTTCCAGTAGCTCAGTGGTAATGTGACTCTCCTCTCACGTCAGAGACCTGGGTTCTAACCCTGACAGGAGTGAATTTTGTGTACATGTGTATCGTGTGAGTGTATATGTATAGAATGTATGATGTTTAACGTGTGTATATTAGGGGTGTCAAAATTAATTGGTTTTTTTTCGGTGCACCGCAATGCAGACAATTCAGTATCGGTTCAGTAATAATCATAACCAGTTATTATGTAGTGACATAATTTATCTCATATGCTAAATGTGGAAATGAGGAAATGTGACTCTTCTCAAGCCAGAGACCCGAGTTCTTTCCCAGACCCTGATAAGAGTGATTTGTGTGTATATGCATAGAATGTATAAAGTATGCATACGTATACAGTAGGGTATATCATGTGTGTGTATGTATAGTATCATGTTTATATATGTATGGAGTGTATAATCTATGTGTGTGTGTGTGTGTGTGTGTGTGTGTGTGTGTGTGTGTGTGTGATACATACATGTATATACGTGTATATACACACACACACACATACCATATGTATATATATATATAGAGAGAGAGAGAGAGTACATGCATAAAGTGTATCATATGTATGAAAGCGAACTGTAACACACATGGTTTGCTATATGGAATGCAAATCTTTGAAGCTTAATATCTCAAAATCACTCTGAACGCAAATAGAATATTAAAACTCCAAGGTGACGATATGCAGTAACTGCAAACTTTTAACTAGGATTTAATTACTATGTCGTTACATTGTAATTACATTGTTGTAACATTGTCATTACATTATAAATACTACGTAATAATATTATAATTACTATGTAATAACACTATAATTACATCATTATAATATTGTAATTACAATACACCATTGTAGTTACATCTATATTACTGTAAATGTGTTTTGTATGTAATTACTATGTCAATACATTGTAAATATATCATTATAACATTGTCATTACAATATAATTACTATGTAATAATATTATAATTACTATATAACAACATTATAATTACTATGTAAGAAAATTGTAGTCACATCATTATAACACTGTAGTTACACTACACTCCAACATTACTTTCTTATAAGTTGTAATTACACTTAAAACATTGTAATTACATCTAGGATATTACAGTAAATGTGTTTTTGTATATTTCATATACAGTATTTATGTGTTATAGTAATATACATATACACAGTACACATGTAATATGTAACTGCAAACTTTTACCTTGGATGTAATCACTATGTCGTTACATTGTAGTCACATTGCTACAATATTGTCATTACATTTTAATTACTATGTAACAACATTATAATTACTATATAAAAACATTATAATTACTTTGGAAAAATACTACACTACACTCCAACATTACATTCTTATACGTTGTAATTACACTACAACATTGTAGTTACATCTATGATATTACTGTAAATGTGTTTTGAATATTTTGTCTACAGTATTTGTGTCTTATAGTAATATATATATATATATATATATATATATATATATATATATATATATATATATATATATATATATATATATATATATATATACACAGTACACTTGTAATATGTAACTGCAAACTTTTACCTAGGATGTATTTACCATGTCCATTGTAAATACATCGCTATAACATTGCCATTACATTATAAATACAATGTAATATTATTCTAATTACTATGTAATAACAATATAATTACTATTTAATAACATTATATTTACTATGTAGTAACATTGTAATTATATTGTTATAACATTGTAATTAAATTGTTATAACATTGTTATAGCTTTCCTTCTTAGACTTTACAGACCTGAAACTTGCCTATAGCACTTATTCATTGTTGCTCTTATAGTTGTGTAAATTGCTTCCTTGTCCTCATTTGTAAGTCGCTTTGGATAAAAGCGTCTGCTAAATGACTAAATGTAAATGTAAATGTAAACATTGTAAGTACATCTATGATATCACTTTAAATGTGTTTTTGTATGTTTCGTATACAGTATATGTGTGTTATAGTAATATAAATAAACACAGTACACATGTAATATGTAACTGCAAACTTTTAAATAGGATGTAATTACTATGTCGTTACATTGCAATTACATTGCTATAATATTGTCATTACATTACATTTACTATGTATTAATATTATATTTACTATATAATAACATTATAATTACTATGTAATAACATTGCAAATACTATGTAATAACATTGTAATTATATCGTTAAAACATTGTAATTACATAGTAACAACATTGTAATCACACTTACAACATTGTAATTGAATCTATGAAATTACTGTAAATGCATTTTTGTATATTTCGTATACAGTATTTGTGTGTTATAGTGATATACATATACACAGTAAACGTAATATGTAACTGCAAACTTTTACCTTGGATGTAATTACTATGTCAGTACATTGTAATCACATTGCTATAACCATGTCATAACATTATCATTATGTATCAATATTATAATAACTATATAATGACATTGTACTTACTATGTAAAAACATTGTATTTACATCGTTGTAACATTGTAATTACACTACAACATTGTAATAACATCTATGATATTATTGTAAACGTATTTGTATATTTCGTGTACAGTATTTGTGTCTTATAGTAATATACATATACACAGTACACATGTAATATGTAACTGCAAACTCTTACCTAGGATGTAACTACTATGGCGTTACATTGTTATTACAATGCTATAACATCATCATTACATTATAATTACTATGTAACAACATTATTACTACAACGTAATAACATTGTAATTATATCGTTATAACATTATTCTTACAATTGTAAACATTGTAATTACACTTACAACATTGTAGTTACATCTATGATGTTATTATAAATCTGTTTGTATATTTCGTATACAGTATTTGTGTGTTATAGTTATTTACGTATACACGGTACACATGTAATTTGTAACAGCAAACTTTTACCTAGGATGTATTTACTATGTTGGTATATTGTAATTACATAGCTATAACATTGTTATTACATTACAATTACAATGTATTAACATTATAATTGCTATATAATAACATTATAATTACTATCTAAAAACACTGTAATCATATTGTTATAACATTGTAATAACATCTATAATAATTATTGTAAATGTATTTAAGCATATTTCATATACAGTATTTATGTGTTATAGTAATATACATATACACAGTACAAGTAATAAGTAACTGCAAACTTTTACCTTGGATGTAATCACTATGTCATTACATTGTAAATCCATTGCTTTAACATTTTCATTACATTGTAGTTACTATAAAATAAGTTTGTTACTACTATGTAATAACATTGTAACTACATCGTTAGAACAATGTAATTACATTGTTACAACATTGTAATTACACTTACACCATTATAGTTACATCTATGATATTACTGTAAATGTGTTTTTGTATATTTCGTATACAGTATTTGTGTATTATAGTAATATGCATAAACACAGTACACATGTAATATGTAACTGCAAACTTTTACCTACAGTTGGATGTACTTACTATGTCATTACATTTTAATTACATTGCCTTAACATTCTCATTACATTATAATAACTATGTAATAATATTATATTTATTATGTAAAAGCATTAAATTTAATTATGTAACAACATTGTAATTACATCGCTATAACATTGTCATTACATTATTATTATTACTATGTAGTAATATAATAATTACTATGTAATAACATTATAGTTACTATGTAATAACAGTGTAATCACATTGTATTAACATTGTTACAACACTCTAGTTACATTTATGGTATTACTGTAAAAGTTTTTTTGCATATTTTGTATACAGTACTTGTGTGTTATAGTAATATACATATACACAGTACACGTGTAATATGTAACAGCAAATTATTTCCTAGGATGTATTTACTATGTCGTTACATTGTATTAATATTGCTTTAACGTTGTCATTTCATTACAAATACTTTGTATCAGTATTATAATTACTAAATAATGACATTATACTTACTATGTAAGAACAATATAACTACTATGTAATAACAATATAACTACTATGTAGTAACATTGTATATACATTGTTATAACACTGTAATTACAATAAAACAATGTAATTACATTGATGATATTACTGTAAATGTGTTTGTAAATTTCTTATACAGTATTTGTATCTTATAGTTATTCACATAAACAGTACACATGTAATATGTACGCGCGTCAAGCTCGAGTGATTTACATGTTAAGTCAATGCAAACGTATATTACAATTACTATGTAATAACATTGTAACTACATAATTATAACATGTAATTACAGTTACAACATTGTAGTTACATTATGATATTACTCTAAATGTGTTTTTGTATATTTTGTATACAGTATTTGTGGGTTATAGTAATATACAAACACAGTACACATGTAATATGTAACTGCAAACTTTTTTCTTGGATGTAATTACTGTATTGTTACATTGTATTTACATTGTAATCACATCCAATATTTACAAATGTGTTTGTATATTTCATGTTGTGTGTATTGATAGGTATATACTCAAATGTGCACAGTACAAATGTATGTAATATGTAATTACAAACTTTAATATTGATATATAAACATTTTGTATCTGCGTTCAATTACTATCATTACATTGTAGTTACATTGTATTTACATCCAAGATAATATTTAGAAACGTAAATGTTTCTTTGTGTATTGCATGTGCAGTATTTGGTTATTTATAGTTTTATACGGAAATATACACAATACACATGTAATTACAAAATTTTGTGGCCAATTACTTTGTAGTTACATTGTAACTACATTGCTTTTACATTGTAGTTACTTCCAAAACAATATTTATAAACTTAAATGTTTCTTTGTATGTTTCATGTGAGTATTTGTGTATTTTATTCATAAATATATGTAGTACGTGTGTAAACTTTGTTTGCATGCAATTATATTGTTATTACAATATAATTACTATGTAACAACATTATAACTACTATGTAATAACATTGTAACTACATCTACGATAGTGTTGTAAATGTCTTTTTGCATATTTCATGTACATTTATTCATTCTGCCACAGCCAAGTCACCCTGCAGCCCAAGACCGGTTACTCACTGAAGCTAAGCAGGGCTGAGCCTGGTCAGTACCTGGATGGGAGACCACTAGGGAACACTAGGTTGCTGTTTGAAGTGGTGTTAGTGAGGCCAGCAGGGGGCGCTCAACCTGTGGTCTGTGTGAGTCCTAAAGCCCCAGTAAAAGTGAAGGGGACACTATACTCTCAGTGGGCACCGTCTTTCGGATGAGACGTTAAACCAAGGTCCTGACTCTCTGTGGTCATTAAAAATCCCTTGGCACTTCTCGTGAAAGAGCAGTGGTGTAACCCCGGTGTCCTGGCCAAAGTCCCTTTATCGGCCCTTATGATCATGGCCTCCCAATCATCCCCTTCCTCCGATATGGCTCTATCACTGTCTCTCCACTCCCCCAATAGCTGGTGTGTGGTGAGCGCACTGGCGCCGTTGTCCTGTGGCTGCCGTCGCATCATAAAGTGGATGCTGCACACTGGTGGTGGTGTGGAGAGCTTTGGGTGTATGGCCATACACCCTAAATGCGCTATATAAATACACTTTACATTACACTACATTCATTCTTTTTTTTTCCGGCTTAGTCCTTTTATTGATCGGGGGTCGCCACAGTGGAATAAACCGCCAACAATAATCCAGCACATGTTTTACGCAGCTAATGCCCTTCCAGCTGCAACCTATTACCGGGAATCATCCACACACACACTCATTCACACACATATACTATGGACAATTTAGCTTACTCAATTCACCTGTACCACGTCTTTGGACTTGTGAAGAAAATCTACGCTAACACGGGGAGAACATGCAAACTTCATACATTACACACCAACTGATCCAGCCAAGGCTCAAACCAGTGACCTTCTTGCTGTGAGGCAAACGTGCTACTTACTGCGTCACCGCGTTGCATATGTCATGTACAATACATTGTATATTTTATATTGTGTATTGAAGAGTACAATTGCAAAACAATATAGAAATAAATAAACAGGAAATTTTAGTAGTTTTCAGAAATCCTGATTTTACGTTAAGTATGGAAGATTTCAATTGCAAAAATTTTGAAATATAAGACTTAAGAAATGGAGGCAGTTTTTACAATCAAGATATATAGTATAATATTCCAACTCATTATTTGCATGAATGACTTCTACTGTGATTAAAGGGATCATCTTCAACATCCTTTTACTTTCTGTATGAAATTTGTACTAAAATCAAAGAGAAACACAAGTTGCAGTTTTTATATTTAGTAGAAGTGAATGAGTTGATAGAAAACCTGACTTAAACTGGCTCAGAGAAACGCTGTTGCTGTCAAACATTGTTTATTAAACTAAGCCAGTTTAATGGTGAGGGGATTGATCCAATAGGCCATTGACAGGTTTGTGAAGAAATGTCATGCTCCCTTGTAAACTACTTTGTAGAATTTTCAAAATACAAAAATACAGTATTTTATTTTAATTCTTGTTGTGGCTACTGTGTTTTGTAGTTTATTTTGATACACTTCAAATTGAGGTAATGCATTTTGTTAATGAAGGCTGCAGCATACTGTAGCATTAGCTATGGTGGACTGAAACTGTAACACTGTAGTATACTTTAGTTTATTGTAGTATAATATTTATAGAAATGTTTTATTCATTATATTATTTCTAACCTATTTTATTATGGGTAAATCGTTTATAGTACTTTAGTTGTTTTATTTGTTTAGCTGTTGCAGATTTGTTCATATTAATTCAGGTACCTTCATATAGTATGGTCACACACATTTTTTGCAAAAAATTATCAAAAAACAAATGGTTTAAATAGTTAATTTGAAAAAAAAAACATGGCTAATTTTTAATAAATTGATACAGTATGTTGGTTTAGCTAATGAACACACCTAGTATTTGTACTCTTTATTTCATAAGTAGTTTTTAACTAAAAACCACATCATTACAACATAAAGAGGATTTATTATTAAAATGCTGAATTAATCAGACTTGAATCATATAATATACACTACCTCTATATTTCTAAATATGATATTTATTTCTTTATAAATACAGTTGATTTATTTAGTTAGTTAAAGACTACATATTCATAAAAAGAGAGGAGAAATTATTTGCATTTTTCCTTAGAATAATAAAAGATTTAAAAAACAATTTTATAACGTTGAAGTTTGGGACTAAACACACAAGAAAATGAATGAATGAATTTTGTAACGTTACCACACTTTATTATTTTACTGTCTTTAGATTATGCTGATCTCCATAAAGCATAACAGTAATTATGCTAGCATTATTTTCTTTTATTCATTTCACATTATGTAGAACTATAACTATTATAAAACTGATTTTATTTGATACCTGATTATTCAATTTACAACTGAAAAGGATGTTTCATATTTGTTTAATGTACATACTACCTTGTTAAATGTAAATTACACTCTTCTGTAAATTAATACAATTATTTCAATATCTAAAATCCATCATGCTGAAGAATCAACATACACACTATATCCAGTTGATTATCCCTCCACTGAAAGTGTAATCATTTTTCAAATATACAAAATAACCTTTCAACGTGTTTTTAAACATAATCGTTTAAATACCTCATCTCTAATAACTAATTTCTTTTGTCTTTGCCATGATGACATCGCATAATATTTTACTAGTTATTTTGCAAGATACTAATATTCAATTTAAAGTAGAATTTATAGACTTCAGTTTATTTACGTTAACTATTTATTCATGTTTTAGCCGGGTCGCGGGGGCAGCAGTCTTAGGAGAGAACCCCAGACTTCCCTCCAGCTCCTCCAGGGGGATCCCGAGGCGTTCCCAGGCCAGCCAAGAAACATAGTCCCTCCAACGTGGGCTGAGTCTTCCCCGAGGCCTCCTGCCAGTGGGACATGCATGGAACACCTCTCTAAGTAGGCGTCCAGGAGCCACCTCAGCTGACTTTTTTCGATGTGGAGGACCAGCGGCTCTACTCCAATCTATAAGGGTGTGCCCTTCCTGTGAAGGAAACTAATTTCAGGCGCTTGTATCCGAGATCTAGTCCTATCAGTCATGTACCAAAGCTCATGACCACAGGTAAGAGTAGGAATGTAAATTGATCGGTAAATCGAGAGCTTTGCCTTTCAACTCAGCTCCTTTTTTACCACAATTGACCGGAACATCAACCGTATTACTGCTGCCACTGCACTGATTCGCCAATCAATCTTACGTTTCATCCTTAACTTACTATTTAACAAAACCCCTAGATACTTGACCTCCACCACCTGGGGTAAGGACTTTCCTCCAAGATGGCAAACCACCCTTTTCCGGTAGACCACTATGACTAACAGTCTAAAGGAATATTTGCTTAATTTATTCATAGCATTTATTGAAAACATGAATGACAAATCCTCAACAACTCCTTTATTAATCCGCAGGTCTCCTGTTATTTCCTGGCAGACCTCTTGTCGTGTTGTTGTATGAGGTGTAAGATGCTGTGTGTGTGTTGTGTGTTTTTCTGCTTGTCTCTGCGCTGCTGCTCGTGCAGATGTGGCGAGTTGAGGATCTGCGGGGGCAGGATGGAGCCGGTGGGCTTCACTCTCTTCACCATCTCCAGAAACAGACGCTTGTTGTTGTTGTTCATGAAGGTGATGGCGGTGCCTCTGTGGCCCAGACGACCCGCTCGGCCAATCTGAAGCGTTCATATGGAGGTGATGGTGGAGTTATTAACAACTAGCTATTATTATTAGCTATGGCAACATTCAGTGTGTGTGGTGTTTGAAGTCGTACCTGATGGACGTATTCATCCATGTTGGAGGGCATGTCAAAATTTATGACCAGCTTTACATTGACCAGATCTAAACCTCGACCCAGAATCCCAGTGCTGATCACCACGTCAAACTGACCCTCTAGGAGACCCTGAGAATATAATATATTAAAATAATAGGTGGGTATAAATTCATTTTTTAAATCTAGATTAATCTCACTGTATTCTTGGAGTTTATCTAGATTAATCTAGATTAAAATGGCTCATTTGAATTCTGCCAAAGGCATTCAGAATATGTGTGCTACCAAAACAATGACTAAAAGTAAGTCTTTGATAACGGGTTTCTCAAGCCAGGTGGCGCATTAGACGAGGGGCTTATCTCCTGTTTCCAAAATGCATCACAAACTGCTTGAGAAACTGTGAAAACAAATGATGTTCAATAAGATGCACTTGTGTTTACTAACCGTTTATTCTGTTAAACATGAACTTTAAACTGTCGGCCTACATAAGCTGAAACAGAAATTTTTGATTACTTTAATCCGACTAAAGTCAAAACTGAACTAAACAGAAATGGAATTAAGACATGTGGAGTATGCATGTATTACTGGCATTATTGAAGTAATATTCACCATATTTTTTGACAAGATACACACATGCGGCTGTCAGTAAAGGACCCCCCCACACACACGCGCAAACACATGCGCGCAAAAACTTTTTTTCTTTCCATCTGGTGTGCGTTATTAAACTCCATAAACTTTCTCCAGTCCTTTCTCCTTATTTGCGTCTAATACAAGACTGTTACGGGGTATGAATGAAATGTTCATGAGTGAAAGTTAAACTGCCGAACTTCAGTTAAAGTCACCCAAAATTACGGGAAACTCTTACATGAAAGCACTTCAAGTAATCACCTTGATTATATTATTTTCTATTAGGGCAAATAACTAGAATACAGATGTCCATGTAAGCGTAGTCAGCAGTTTCTTCAAAGTAAGTGAAAGATCCAGAAGGGCATCCTGCTTATTTGATTCAGAAGAGCACTTTTTGGTCAGACGGCTCACCGGTTTGACTTTCATTCATTGTAAAAAGCATTGGTCCATTTTATTTGTATATGTTTAACTCAAACGCATAAACTCTACAGGTGCCTGATAGTTAGATGTGGAGGAGCTAACATTAATCAGATTCACTCTAGTAAACTGCATCCATGTTAGCACCTCACGTTTGAGGTGGTGATTTCACTGTAGGAATACACACAGGACACAGACTTGTTCCTGCCACATAATTCGCCACTTGCAATTCGGCCAGGTATACATCCGTGCTAAAATATGAAGGTGAAAGTCATCATAGCTTGCGTAAAACAGATCCAGCTCCAAACCCAACTTTGAGAATAGATTAACGGCGATATTTTTTTTTTTAATTGCCTGGGCTCACACCTAAATATAATATAATATAATATAATATAATATAATATAATATAATATAATATAATATAATATAATATAATATAATATAATATAATATAGTTCAATGCCCATGAGGAGGCCTTTAAACAAATATTATTTTATTATTATTATTATTTTTTTATGTAATCAAACTACCTAATAAGGAGACCCTAAAAAAACACACAATTATAATTTATGGAATAGAAAATGTAAAATAAAAAAATATACAAAGACAAATATACAAATACATAAAATAATTCTAACTAGCTGTTGGGGAAAACAAAATACGCCAAAGCATATTCTGAAACAAATATAAAATTTTAATTTAGTTTAATTTATTGTCAAATTAATCAAAAGATCCCAAAAGGTGATCCTCAAAACACTCACTAAGATGATATATTTTAGGGAAATTTGTGGCTGCTCTTCAGTCACTATTCACTTCACTGACACATTCAGTTTATTGAACGAAACACATTAATAAATGCACATCATAACTATAATCGTCACATATTAGAAGATTACCTTCACAATTTTGTTGCGTTCCCACTGCATCTTGTCTGAATGAATGGCGACTGTGTTTAAACTCATGACCTTCTGCACAGCTTCACACAGCAGATCAGCTCCCAATTTACAATCCACAAACACAACCACTGGAGGCTGATAGAGCTTTTCGTCCTGTCAACACACACAGAGAAACACACCATTTACACGTTCAATAATATACAAGGAAAGATACAATATCTATAAACATTATGTAGTATGTAATGTAGTATAACATATTTTTACACATTCAACAATATACATGGGAATTATACAGTTTCTACAAATTATTTTTATTATGATTTTAAATAAAAATTTATATATATATATATATATATATATATATATATATATATATATATATATATATATATATATATATATATATATATATAAACAATTTTTTTAAATAAATATTTTTTACATTTATTCTATGTTCTTAATGGACAATTATTCTGAAATGTTAGAAAAAGTGCATTATTAATAATTATTATATTATAGGCTGCAAATTCATTCATTTTCTTGTCGGCTTAGTCCCTTTATTAATCCGGGGTCGCCACAGCGGAATGAACCGCCAACTTATCCAGCAAGTTTTTACGCAGCGGATGCCCTTCCAGCCGCAACCCATCTCTGGGAAACATCCACACACACATTCACACGCACACTCATACACTACGGACAATTTAGCCTACCCATTTCACCTGTACCGCATGTCTTTGGACTGTGAGGGAAACCGGAGCACCCGGAGGAAACCCACGCTAAGGCAGGGAGAACATGCAAACTCCACACAGAAATGCCAACTGAGCCGAGGTTCGAAGCAGCGACCTTCTTGCTGTGAGGCGACAGCACTACCTACTGCGCCACTGCCTCATTTACTACTACATTCACATTTACTAATTGATTTGTATGTATGTATTTCATGTATGTATTTCATCTTAAATAATTTTATTAATACAGTATTTATATTTTTAACAATAATTATTATTAAATGATTATAATATGTAATGTTTCAAATATAATGTTTTTCATTTTTCATAATTTTTCTAAAAAACAATTATTAAATGTTAATGGTTTCGTACAATTTTAACCATGAATGTATTCATCAGCCCAAAAGAAAATACATTTCTCATTTGCTTCAAGTTGTGCTTTATAAAATGCTTCATTTTTGGCTTTCTGTCTCTGGCTTCTTTTTGTTAACTTGCATATTAAGATGTAAGAAAAGTAAAACATTGCCATTTCAGCATGATTTGTTACGTTTAAGATCTCAAAAAGCTTCTTCTTCTTGGAGGGCTCCTCCACCCAAAGGACGATCTGCCGAACGTTTGCGCAGGGCTGGTTCTTCTGGCCGATGGTGATGGTCACTGGGTCATGGGTGAGACGCTCTGCCAGCTGCTGTGTGCCGGTGGGAATAGTGGCTGACGTCAGCAGAGTCTGATGGTCTTCTGGGACCTGCTCCAAAATATCCAGGACCTGCTGCTGGAAGCCCATCTTCAGCATGGTGTCTGCCTGTAGGTGGGAGGGTTTGACAATGGCATCATTAATTACAACATTTCTTTCTATTTCTCTTTTTTCCCCTTCCTTATCTTTTTTTTCTATTTTTTCTTTATTTCTCGAAATCAAAACATGCTACTATTAAAATTATTTTAAAAAAACTAAAACATAAATGTATCAGTAAAGCATGGATTGTATTGATGTATTGGTGTTTAAGTGTTTTTAAACTTATGAATATCAAATCTCATATTATTTTGTTATTCTCCGTGAATTCAATCAATAACGATAAATGATCCATAATAAATCATTTTTATTTTACATTTACATTTCAGAAATGTTTTTAATACTATAAGTGAATGACTTTAAAAGTAACAACAACTAAATGTAAATTAATGTTTTTTATGGTAAAAGTTAATTAACCAATTTAATAACAATCGACCAATGAAAGTTATTTCATATTTTTAATGGATTGATTATATTAAATTAATTTGTATTTCATAACTTGTTTACTTGTATATAAGCAATTGTCCCGGTTATGATATATTTGATGGACAATTACTTTTATATATTACTAATACTAATTATTATTGCTATTATTAATAATAAACATATATTTATTTCATCATTTATTTAATGTTTATAAAAATCACATTTATCAGCCTTTTTCATATTTTAATGAACAAAAATTAAATCCTTAAATTTTCCTCCTATCTCATCTCCTTTTCGTCTGCTTTTCCGGGGCCTAGTTGCAGGGGCAGCAGTTTTAAGAGAGAACTCCAGACTTCCCTCTCCCCAGACAATTCCTCCAGCTCCTCCAGGGGGATCCCGAGGCGTTCCTAGGAGAGCTGAAAGACATAGTCCCTCCAGCGTGCCCTGGGTCTCCCCCGAGGCCTTACCCCGATGGGACATGCCTAGAACAACTCCCTGGGAAGGCGTCCAGGAGGCATCCGAAACAGATGCCAAAGCCACCTCAGCTGACTTCTCTCGATGTGGAGGAGCAGCGGCTCAACTCCAAGCTCCTCCTGGGTGACAGAGCTCTTAAGGGTGCGCCCTCCCACCCAGCAAAGGAAACTCATTTCGGCCACTTGTATCCTATCCGAGATCTTGTCCTTTCGGTCATGAGCTTTGAGTGAGAGTAGGAACATAGATTGACAGGTAAATTGAGAGCTTTGCGTACGGCTCAGCTCCTTCTTTACCACAATGGTCCGATACCTTGACCGCAATACTGCTGCCGCTGCACCAATCCGCTAGTCAATCTCACGTTCCATTATTCCCTCACTTGTAAACAAAACCCAAAGATACTTGAACTCCTCCACCTGGGGTAAAGACTTTCCTCCAACCTTTCCAATAGATATTCAATAGATATAATATATTAAATAAAATCTAATAGATATTAGATATTCAATATATTATAAATAAATATTACATAAATACATGCATATATAAACCAGTAAATGTATTTAAAAAAAATGTAATACCTTCATATTTTATTGAAGTTATACTAAATAGCTAACTGCATTATGCAAATCTTTATAATTCATTCATAGTTTATTATATTTACTTATAAATTGTTATTATCTATATATTTTATTTTATATTCATATTGATGCAGTTAATCTATTTTTTACATTAAATTTAATATTAAAACATCAAAATATCATCAAAGATATAAACATACGCCTTTCTATGTAAATAAATGCTGACCTCATCAACCACAACGGTCCTGACATGATCCAGCTGTACGGCCTTCTGCTTCAGAATCTCCAGGAGGCGTCCAGGAGTGCCGATCACAATCTGCACAAACCAAACCTCCACAAATAAACAAACACAGCTCTTAATGGGCAAACCTCACTTTGACCTAGACCCCGATACCTTGATGTTGTGCTTTAGTCGATGCAGTTGTGGAGGTAGTGGCATCCCACCGACCAGAAGAGCTGTCCTCATGTTGGGAAGACCCCTCATCAGCTCTTTTGCCTGCTCCTCGATCTGGATGGCCAACTCACGGGTTGGGGTCAAGATCAAACATGCCGGACAAGACGGAGACGCAGATTCACTCTGGAAAATAATGCAAATATGCAGAAAAGGTTGATGATGGGGATTAGGATGTTCAAACTGTATGGACAAGAATGGGCTGTTGAATCATATGCTTGATTCCGATTGGCTAATAATTCAACCTCGTCAATTATTTCTTTATTAACATTAGGTTTTAATGAAATGGTATTCCGGTTTTCTATTCTTCATAAAACTAAAATTTTCCCCAATTTTTTATATTCATTTTAACAGTTAGTCTGGATAACAAATGTTTTCATTACTTATGACTGAAAATATTCATCACAATATTGCTTTGTTAATGCTTTTTAAGTTCAAAACTTTGTTTAAAATAAAAGTATTTTATGCTAAGAAAAAAGCTGTAAATTAAGGGCATTTTAAAAAATAAACTAACGAAAAGGTACCATGTTTTCAGATACGTTTAGATTGATGACATTCATTATTAGACAATTCAATGCCAATGTTTTAATTTCAGAAGAGTTAAAGGGAGAGTTCACCCAAAAAGGAAAATCTGTCACTCATCCTCCACTTGTTCCAAACCTGTTGAAAATAAAAGAAGATATTTTGAAGAATGTTGGAAACATGTAGCTGTTAACTTTCATTGTAAAACAAATACTATGAAAATCAGTTACTGGTTTCCAACATTCTACAAAATATCTCCTTTTGTGTTCAAGAGAAGAAAAAAACTCAAACAGGTCTGAAAAAAGTGAAAGATGATTAAATGATAAGATTTCATTTTGAGTGAACTGTCCCTCTGAGGCACAGGTGTCAAGTCCAGTTCCTGGAGGGCTGCAGCTCTGCACAGTTTAGCTTTAACCCTATAATTAAACACACCTGATCAAACTAATTGAGTCTTTCAGGCTTCTTTGAGACCTCCAGGTAAGTGTGTTGAGGCAGGGTTGGAACTAAACTGTGCAGAGCTGAGGCCCTCCGGGAACTGAATTTAACATCTGTACTCTAAGGGAATAATATGTTGTGCAACAACCATAATTTTCAATAACAACAAATGAAACTTTTTGTTATTCTGACTAATTGACCAATTGTTGTTTTCTAAACAATAAAATCAATGGCAATTAAAGAAAATTGTAGTCAAACCTTTAAAAATGTTTTTATAACACAACAATACATAGCATATCATTATAATTCTTTATTTTACTAATGCACTACTCAGAACTCTTTGACAAGAATCTTCCTAAACATTATGTCACTTGTCATCATTCACCTGCAGTGCTCTCATCACCACCGGCAGAAGGAAAGCCACAGTCTTCCCAGAACCGGTGTCCGCAGTGGCGATCACGTCTCTCCCGGTGAGCCCCACGGGTACCATCTGCATCTGCACCGGTGTGGGCGCCTCATACCCGGCCGCCTTCAGATTCCTCTCAAGCACAGTGGGGAACCGACAGTGCTGGAACTCAATGACAGGCCTGCAGACCTCCGTGCCCACGCTCACGATCCCCAGCTCGGCTTTAACCCGCTCTATCTGCTCCTCCGTCAACTCAGAAATAAAAGCGTCCTGCTTGTAGGAATAACTCTTTGTATTTTCAGAGCTCTCCGGTGTGTTTTTGTTATTAAAGAGTTTGTCGCCGAAGTCTGCGCAGACTGCGGCCAGGTGAGCGGCTTTGCACTCGAGGCTGCAGATGTCGTTGTCGGTTTTGTCGCAGATGTATTCGCCGTATCGGCCGCACATCACGCAGACGGGCTCACCAGGCTCCGGCCACCGCTGACTCTTCTTGAAGGACTTCACCGGCTCCTGCAGTGGATTAGGATAAAGTTGGTTTTATATAATATAATATAATATAATATAATATAATATAATATAATATAATATAATATAATATAATATAATATACTTTAATGTAAGATAATTTACTGTAATATAATATCATATAACTCCAGAAAAGTAGGCCATGGTTTGCTAATTCTAAAAAGGAAACCATATTAGCAGTCAATGGCTATAAAAGTACATTGTTCAGTCAATTAAACTGCTGTAATGTTGTTTTGAAAACATACTTACAGTTGAAGTCAGAATTTTTAGCCCTCCTGTATTTTTATTCCCCAATTTCTGTTTAATGAAAAGAGTCTTTTTTTTCAACACATTTCTAAACATAGGCTTGTTTAAATAACTAATTTTGCATAGCTAACTTCTTTTATCTTTGCCATGATGACAGTGCATAATACCCTGTAAAAAAATACAGTGTATGCTTTACCTGAATTGAGGCAACTATTTGCATCAGCCTTTTAAGTATTTCAAATTCATTTTATTTTAGTTTGTCCTGTTAGACTTTGCATGTTCTCAATTTACACTTTAAAGTAACATTGAGTCCGTTTTATCAATTTTCTACTTGTAGTTTTAAGTTCGCCAAACCTGCACTGTAAAACCCGACAGTCAACTTTATCAACTGAAATGAGTGAAGTTAACTCAAAATATACTAAAAGTCAATTCTACTCATTTGAAAAGAGTTTTGAACTCAAGTGTTGATGGTCATGAGTTAATTAAATACCTCATTACTTCAACTTAAATGGAGTAAGTTCACGGTACTCATATAGAGGTCTAGGTTTTTAAACTCAAATGGTTTGTTGCAATCGGTTTCCTCAAATAGTTTGAGTTACTTTAACATATTGGGTTTTACAGTACCCAGTTGGTTTGAATTTTCTTCATTTATTGGGTTTTACTTTGCTCAAATCGCTTCATTTACTCAGATGGATTAAGGTTACAGTACTCATTAGGATTAGTTTTTGAACTTAAATGGTTTGTTGCAACCGGTTTTCTCAAATGGTTTGAGTTACCTTAGCTTTTTGGGTTTTACATTTTTTTTAAAGTAAAATGTACTTATTTATTCTAATAATCCACACAGTATTTCAAGTTACTATTATTCAGTAAAACATGTGTTTTTAGGTAATCCTAACATAATATTATTATTTTTCTACCTAAATTAAGTTATTAAGTTATTATTCAATTGAAAACTTGTTTTACAGTATTACCGAATTAATTTAACATTTCTTAAGCATATTTTTCAAGATACTAGTAATTAGCTTAAAATGCAAATTAAAGGCTTAGGTTAATTAGGCATCTTGGGGTAATCATTATATAAAGATAGTTTGTTCTGTAGACAATCGTTAAAAAAATATATTGCTTAAGAAGGTTACTAATATTGATATATTATAATATAATTTAATATTCTAGCCGAAATTAAACAAACAAGACTTTCTTCAGAAGAAAAAAAATATTATAGTAAATACTGACTGAAGTAAAGCTGGTTTTATATTTGCACATTTGAACTGTAACCTTCTTAACTACTGCTCTGTTAAACATAATTTGGGAAATATTTAAAAAAGGAAACAAAAATAACAGAACGTGAATCATTTTGACTTCAACTGTAACATTACATGCGATTTCAGACCCAATATTGAAAGTAGCTTGGTAAACAATGTAGGGACCGTGTCACTGTTAAAAAAGAACGAATGTGCGATTATAAAACCAACTTTACCTCAATCTCCTGCTGCTCCTCTTCGTTGTCTGTCTGACGGCTCTCCTCCTCTGTGTTTACAGCTGGAGCTGCAGTAACCGCTGTGTCTTCTTCTGATGTCGGTTTGCTTCTTTTGGGATGCTGCTGAGGAGGTTCGGAGGCTCTTTTGAGCTTTAGAGATCTCGGCATGAACATTTTCAGACCACATTCACCGTGCAGATACTAACTGAAAACAAATAGAAAGCTTAAAATAAAGGAATTATACGTATTTAGCAGCTGACAAGTCACAACCACGGCTTTGCAATTCCTTATAAACAGTCGCGCAAATGTGACGCCATACTTATGCTACTGTATTGCTGGGTAATGTAGTTTTTAAGGATTGTAACCAAGGATTGTAGTTTAATTGTAAATAAAAGTCAAGTAAATAAACAAAGAATACTACAGATGAGGCATAATATTTATGTTAAGCAGTTGGTAAATATATACATATAGTTATTTAAATCTAAGTACAAGATTACTAAGTAATACATTTCTGAACGACTATTCTTGCTTATAGTAGTAATATAGCATATTCTTTATTATGACAGTTGTTTTCTGCTGTTGTTGCTTTGTTATTATTGTTAATTCATTAACTTATTATTGTATTTTTAATGAATAATAAATAAAATATATTTAGCTGTGTGGCATTCACCTTGGCAAATATATATATATATATATATATATATATATATATATATATATATATACACACACACACACACACAAATGTTATGTCTGGTTCTTAGATCTGATTGGCTGATAGCCGTGCGGTATTCTGCAATATCAGAACTCCTACAGCCTCTTTACCCTTTGTGAATTACCCCGCCCACATACAGCCAGCAAAAAGCAGACACTACAGATCTAAAGTTTAAAAGATGCACGCTCAACTGTTTAACTGTCAGCTTATGATTTGAATTTAAATCCGGAAGAAAGTAGTTCCTCATACAAAAGGTTTTTGAGACTCTCCATGTTTGATTTTGTTTTTATATACACAATTATGCCGTCAAACTGTTGTATAAACGCAATATCACACTCGTAGCAGTGCGATATGGCTGTATATCAGCACTGGTGGTGGCACTAAGGCACTCGGCCTGTGGCCTCGCACGCCTCCCACCAGTGCCGATATACAGCCACATCGCACTGCTACTCGTGTGATATTGCTCATATATATATATATATATATATATATTGTGTTGACTATAAAATTATTACTACTGTTGTTGTTGTTGTTTTACATAATACCATATTTTAAAAACTACAAAAAAACATAAGCTGTGTGAAATTGAAAAAGTGAAAAAAATGTATTCGTTTTTTGATGGCATACATTAACATTGTATTAATAATTAATTAGCCAACTAATCTGAGTTTAGCCTATTATAAAGGACATCAAAGGACTAAAAGTTACAAATAAAATAATTGTTATTCATTAACTTTTTATTCTAATGATTTTTAAAAATCTTTTTACGTTGAATACATTGAATACATTTGATTATTAACAAAAGACTAAACGTTGTCTTTTTTATTAAATTGCTATTTGTACAAATCTTTTCATTTCTACACCAGAATGATTTTATTTATGTTTTATTTATTTGTTTGTGTCTATTCAGCATAAAGTTTAATATATATGTTATGAAATGTCACCGGATCCCATTTCTAGCACAGTCCCGATTTCTACCAGTTTGGGGTCGTTGGCGTGTTGGGCGGAGCGCGCATGCGCTGAAGGCTGATCCTCAAACTGCTGCAGGGAGACCGCAGGACGCTGGATGAACAGAGCGAGTGAATAACCGTAAATATCCAGATAGTAATAAGTGGGCAGAGCATGGCGAGCTCTTAAAGAAGACAAAGACGGCTTTAGATAGCGACTCTTTGACTTTGGGACATGGAGGTTTATTAAGGCGAAAAGCGGCCGAATTCAAATGGGGTACCAGAATGGATGAGGCTCAATGGGCAGAACCCCACTTTTACCGGATCGGGCCGAAATTGATGTGAAAATAATCCCAACCGAGTGTTTTAACAGCATCCCAGCACACTTATGTTAGAAAACCTGACATGTATGTGTAGGAAAAGAAGCCAAAAGTGATATTTGTTGCAGTGAATTCCTTCGGAGAGATGTCATCGTTGTGAACGCTGGATGTTGTGAATATGGGAGATCTGAGCGAGTCCAGAGACCCGAGAAAGACTTTCATTGTTCCTGCCATCAAGCCTTTCGATCATTATGATTTTACCAGAGCTAAAATCAGAGCCAGCCTCACATGGCTAGTGGCCAAAGCCTTCGGTACAGGTAGGTGGCGTGTTTCTTTTTCTCCACCATCATCTTTTTGTCTCTTGATTTGATTAGCAATGTGTTGCATTGAACGCGTCAGCTATCAAATAGAAGCAGAACCGTATCTCTTCAATATGTTAATCAATGCATACCTAAGTGCATCTTCAACCTTAACTGAATCACGATTTTGTATTATAATATCACATTATGTCAACAATTATTGCAGTATTCATTTCGAGCTACTGCTTTAATCACATATTAACGTTACGTATTTGTTGCTAATTAATTTCATTTTATAATACTAAAGTGGACAAAAATGCTAAGTTTCTGTAATGATTGGGTTATATACGTGCCATATGCTAATAATTTCAGTAAAGTTAGTGTTATTAGCATAACATAACGCTCACTGTCAGATAATATGTCAGAATCTTTATATATATTATATTTGTACAATATATGCACATTATTTGTGCTTGTATATTTAAAATATCTCTATTTCATTGCTCTCAAAGCCTTCTAACACTTTTGTAAAGTACTTATTACAGGACTTAATCGGATAGTACACACAAAAATAAAATAATTAAAGTACTATTTACTCACCCCTCAAGTGGTTCCAGGCATTCACGATTTCTTTTTTCTGTTAAACACTAAATATGTTCTGAAGAAAGGTGAAAACCTGTAACCACTGCCTTCCATGGTAGGAGAAACAAATACTATGGAAGTTGATGGTAACAGCTTTAAAACATGTTTCAAAATATCTTCATGTATGTTCAACAAAAGAAAGTCGAATGTGTTTTGAACAAGTAAATGGTGAGTAAATCATGACAGAATATTCAGTTTTGAGTAAAATATTCATAGGTTTTTGGTATGATATTGACACAAAGTTATATTTTCTTGATCTGTAAAATGAGTCTGAACTAATTGATTAAAATGTAGTTTCAAGCTGCTTAAACAATCATACATTTTGTTTGTTAATTTCATCTGCATAGTGTTATCCAACAGTAACAGCAGAAGTAATGCCGTTGTTTTTTTTAAAGAATTTCTATCATTGTTTTTCCTTGTGCATAGTAATATTATAGTATATTGAAAATCTGGTGATTTAGTGCTGTGTTATTAACATAGCATAACTGTTCTGTTATCGTCTAATTAATAAATAAAAATGATGAAATATGGTACATTTAGACAATACACAATTTGTTGGCTTATTCATTCATATTTCTTCAGCTTAGTCCCTTTATTTATGAGGGGTTGCCACAGCGGAATGAACTGACAACTTATCCAGCATATGTTTTACACAGCGGATGCCCTTCCAGCTGCAACCCATACTGAAAAACATCCATACACACACTTATTCACACACATAAACTACGACCAATTTAGTTTATTTAATTCACCTATAGTGCATGTCTTGGGACTGTGGGGGAAACCGGAGCACCCAGAGGACACCCACACCAACACGGGGAGAACATGCAAACTCCACACAGAAATGCCAAACTGTCCCAGCACAGGCTCGAACCAGCGACCTTCTTGCTGTGAGGCGACAGTGCTAACCATTGAGCCACCATGTCACCCTTTGTTGGCTTAAATAAATCTTGTTCCTAAATAAATCTTATTCCTTCTTCTTTCAGGAGTTAAACATTAAAGATATTTAATATCAAATAGAAACAAAACCATATTTTGAAGATGTCAATAAATGCAATACTAAATTTACCTAAAGTGAGTGATAGCATAATTTTGTTCAGTATTGTCACTATATGTCATTTCTAAGCTGCATCATGAACATATTACGCATTTATTGTTTATACATTTTAGCAACATTTAACAAAAGTAACAGTTATCATTAAATTAATGTGTCAGATTTTTTTTTTCAGAATTGTTAAATATGATACATTTACACAATATATGCACAATATTTTAGCCTGGTAAACATGGCAATTTAATTAAACTCACTTACCCTGTGAAAATGAATTAGCTTATGTATGTTTATAATATCGAATCTGTCAACAAAATCAAGTTATGCATGGTTTGTATATTATTTTCACAATATTATATGAAATGTTATGTATATAATACAAAAAAAAAGCACTTTTAAATAATATACTTGGTTATAAAATTGAATGTGATGTTTTCACTCAGACATAAAATATAATTAAAAAAATATTTAAATACATAATAAATTAGTTAAAAATAAAAGCCCTTTTTGACCCAATAAAGTAGGAATTGAGTATTTTTATGTTATTTCATAATTAATAATTTGTCGTTGAAGTATATTTAATGTAGTATGTGAACATTTTGACAGTATATTTTAATGTCATTTTAAGTATTTTGTATTTAAGTTGCAATTTAGTTGATTTTAAAATATAGATTTACACTACAAGCGCACATTCAATACACTGAAGTTTACTTGTTTATTTAGTCAGATTATCAATAAAATTATTTATCATATATATGGTAGAGCTGCACAATTAATCGAAAAAAGATCGTGATCTCGATTCGACCCCCTAGACGATCTTAATCCAGCATTTCTACGATTCTGCCAATCATAATTTCAAGTTCAGGAGAGAAGCAAAGGCGGCTGCACAAATCTTTTCATTCTTTCACACACGTTGCTCAGTGACATGGACACTTCCAAATGATGTTAAAAGAGTAACATATTGTATTTACAAGGTATAATTCACCTAAAAATGTAATTTTTGTCTTCATATAATGCTGTATTCGCGGCCGGGAAATCACACGTGACGTGAGCTACTGACTGTGCGGTCGCGCGCCCAACTTAATAATAGACGCGAGTGTCTACTTTAGTGAACAGAACCTGCATATGCTGTGAGTAACAGGTAATAAAGTTGTAAATAAGGCCGTACTCACACTAGGTACAGTTGCCTCGAACCGGGTCTCCCCCGACGGCCTGCGCCTACACCACAAACGGGCCTCTGCACGCTTACGTCATCGCTGCTGCGCTGTTCAGTGAGAAGCACTCTCTCACTCAGCAGCACAGTGGAGATTTCTCTAGTTGTATCGTTTCAGTTGTTTGTTATGCAGTGACATGCAGTCAAATATTTTGCCAAACAGTCCTTTGGGTTGCGGTGACACGCAGTCAGATATTTCGCCGAACAGATCTGCCACTTTTGGCTCTCATAAACAATTATAAAGCTCTCGTGCTGCAGGAATGAGGAGGTCTGCTGAAGCCGCGCAGCTGTCGTGCAGTGAGGGGTTTACGTCTTTAATAAACTACGGCAGTTTGCGTTCACTGAACAGTAAGAATGATTAATAAATCCATATGAAACAGCCCCTTAAAAGTCACGTCCCACTTTCAGTTTCGGGCTTTTGCGCGTTTTGCACTCACACACAAGCGTACGGCGCCAAAGCCCAAGTGAACCGCGCTCAGGCACACCTCTTCCAACCGGGCCAGGGCCGGCCAAGTGAAGCGTGCTTGAGCCCGATTCAGCGCACTCACGCTTCTCAAATGATCCGGGAAACGGGCCTGGGCACAGTACAGATGGCATAGTGTGAGTAGGCCCTAATATTCAGTTTTTGGCACAGAGTGATGGTTTGAGAGCCGCGCGCAAAGTATGAAAAGCACTTAGCAGTGAAAATGAAACCGCAAGCAGGCACATCATTTAAATGATCATATCGCATTTAAGAGTTATGACTGCGACAAGCATTTCATAGCCTATGTTTTTTCTTTTATAGCGAACACAGAGTTGTGCATGAAAATAAATGTTTACAGTGTCAGTATAACTACTCTAGCCTATATAATGTTGATTTTACCAGTGAATTAAATGTTGTCTATGACAAATTGCAAGCATATATCTCAAACATAATTCAACATCAGAATTATTATAAGTAGGATAGAATTATTTATAGAAACCAGTAGACCTAAACATAATATTAATATTGTTGTTTAACCGTTTGAGAAAAAAGCAATAATCTCATATTAAGCTTTATTTTACATCTACAGAATCGTGAGAAAATCGTGATTTTTATTTTAAGCAAAAAAATCACGATTCTCATTTTAGCCAGAATCGTGCAGCTCTAATACATGGCTTATACATTCAGATTCAATCAAATCTGCACGTTTGACATCTCGATTGACAGATTGACGTCCATGTTTATTCACTACTTAGTCGCTGAGCTCTATGTTTAGCATATCATTGTAATTGGCTAACTGGTGCCACCACCGGCCATCTGGTCTCCTTTAAGTCTCATTAAAATGCGCAGTCAAGTCTCAAGTCAGTGCTCAATGCAAATGACAACTCTTGCTTTTGTTTAGCATTTTTGATTTAAAGTGACCTTAAACTGTAAGAACAAGACCCTGAACTGCTAATAGTTCTGCTAATAGTGTGGATATGCTAACATTCAGTAGCTCGATCGACAGGCCTTTAGGGTATTATTGACCCGTTTGTTGACTTGTGTAACCTTAGCCCAGATGATAAAAGACTTCAAAGAATGACTACTTCCTCACATTTCAGACTATGATAGTGAAATTTAAAATTTCATGTTGTGATAGGGCTTTAAGATATGTGTTTTTTATGCCACCAGACTAGTTCATATGAAATGCAAGCGGTTGTTTTGGTCAAACAGAGTGTGGTCAGCTTTTAAATTCCATAAAAGCTTTTCTATTGATCCATTTTGGCCCGTTGGGAAGGATAGAGATAATGAATTGGCATTAATGGCATTTTCTCATCTGTTGAATAGATTCTTGCTTGATAGTGCATTGTTTGCTGAAAACCAACTGAGGGTGGTTTATTATTATCATCACTTATTTATTGTGAAATCAATGCAAGAAAAAAACTTGGAATTGAGTGAACTTACAGCTCTTTTTCTTTGTTTTATACCTAATCTTTATTGATGTTTGACAAAATGATGACCATAAAGTTAACATAACAAACCAATCGCCGTAAATATAATTATTTAGTGACAAATAGCATTCAAACATGTCATTTTTCATGCTATTTTTATAAACAGAGGAGAAAGATTGTTATTTACTACATTTGTCCTTAAAAGATTTGTTTTTGTAA